TTCATATATCCATTGTATCTGATTTATCATCACGGGTTTATCACGAATCAACTTAACGGCCTCCTCCCAGTTGGCTTGTCAGCTCAATTGGTAGAGCGCTGCACTAGTATCGCAGAGGTCAGTGGTTCGAATCCCGTACAGGCCTAATTTTTTTCAGGTCTGATTTTCGCTGTTGCATAAATAGCGCTATCTACTGCGTAGGATCGTGCATCATAGGTAAAGAGCGAAATCTTTATAATTTACTGATGAGTCTATCGTAGGTGTTACAGCCTAAAATCCAGGTTTTCAGGAGTATATAAACACAACGTTTCAGTCAACTTTTGACAAAGTGTTTACATGTAATTCACTTTTCAAGTAATTCGGTGGCGGCAAACAATAAAGACAGACCGTAATCCCAGTCGTTCACATTACTTAAAACCGTCGTTGTACTAATACTGGCAGTGGTCCCCGTAGATTTGAGGCTTTCTTTGATACCCAATTCTTGTTGGTACTGTTCTTCAATTAATGACTTTGGTTGTTCAGGGAAAAATGGCTCACCTGAATTTGGAAGCACTCCTCTCCCGGGAAAAGTAATCCCTTTTTGTTCCCACAAACGCTTGACGGGATTTACATGTTTCGAGACATCTTGTCTGTTTGTTGCTCCTGCCAATTCTTCATCGAACTGCTTTAATAAATCTGGAATATCTCCTTTTTGTGGGACCTTTCTACCACATATTTTTTCAAGTTTCCTTATGTCAGTTTGTACTAATAACCACTTTGGAATTGAAGTTCCGTGCAATGTAGAACGCAAATACTTCGAAGGATTGCTGTTAATTAAGTCCGTCTGGACTTCACCTGCAAAAATGTTTATGCTGGCTTGATAACTTTCTTGCTTGGAGTTCTTATCATCTTCCAATCTTTTCAATTTGCTATTTTCGCTCTTTATTTGCATCTGTAACGACTTATAGTACTTTTCATCGTCTAGAAGTTTCTTTATGTCTTTGCATATCGTCGCTGAAACACAAGGTGCAAACGAATACATAACTCGGTTGTGGCCTGAAGTATGGCAATTTGAACAGAGCGGTTCCTCATTACGAAATAGCGGCTGAAAACTTGCTTCGAGCTCTGCTAATTCTTTCTCTTTCATGGTCAGTACTTTCTTTTGAGCCAATACATCTTCTTCCATCTTTTTGAAAAATTTTTGCGTTGGCGTTTCATAAATATACACATCATCTTGCTGCTTTGTACAAGTACTACCGGCAGTATAAGTATCCGAGTTGAATAAACTTTCGAGTGGTCGATTTCCTCCGCTGATCTTAGTTTTCTTCTTGTCTTGATGAATCTTAATTTTCCCGCCTTCGAGAGATGGAGGATAAGGGCTACGTAAATGCTTCTGCGATTGAGATGTACGACTAGTATTCGGAGGTGGAGTATGGGCCAGCTCTACGATCTTTAGGGTTATCCTTTTTTGATTTTCTTTTCCTGAACCGTTGGCTGTTTCGATCATATCTATGAAGGAATCTAAGTCATTACTCGTCAGCTCGATCAAATCCGACCCATCGTCCAAGTATTTGAGAGTGAATCCACTGTTTATATTTGGGAATCTTGTTAAAATGCGTTCGGTTAAATTTTCTAACGTTAGAAATTTGACTTCGTGAGACGAAAAGAACAGTTTTACCCATTTTCCTCTGGGTCCTTGCACCTTAAACTGAAAACGCTCCATCTCAAACAGGTGAACAGCAAAGATG